CTGTACACTTTATCCTTTGAGCCATGACCAGTCTGAATTCCATTTACTTAATGTGTAAAGTTTGGTGAGTTTAACCTCACAAAGATATTTATGATGCTACCACCACAATCCAAGTAATGGACCTATCCAGCTCCTGCCAAAGGTTCTTTTTATTCTCCTCTCCACTTTTAGAAGAACATGACTGACAAAAAAAAAAGCTTCTTCAACAAAGTTTCTTGGGAAAAAAAATGGTTCTGCAGGAGGCTAAACTCTAACCCTTCTCTTACTCGGTAAAATGTCATCCTCAAATAGATCACAGATCTAAATATTAACATCTACAACTTGGAAATTAACTATACTAATACACATAAAAAATTGAAGTAAGATTCCACTTGCCATAATATGAGTAAGAAGGGACAAATGGTACTACATCAAATTTCAAAGTTTCTACACAATGAAAGAAATAATTAGCAGAACCAAAAGATACCCCTAAGGAATGGGAGAATAACTTCACAAACTATGAAATGGATAAAAGATTAACATTCAGAATATACAAAGATCACAAAAAATTAAGCAGGAAAAGAACAAACAGTAAAATTAATAAGTGGGCAAACAAGTTGAGCAGATAATTCCTAAGCAAAGAAATGCAAATGACTTATAGATACATGAAGAAATATCCAGCATCCTTAGATATAAAGAAAATGTGAATCAAAACTACACTAAGATCCATCTTACTCCATTCAGATTGCAATTGTCAAGAAAACTGGTTAAAAAAAACAATGCTGGTAAGATTATGGGGAAAAAAGGAACCCACATATATTATTGGTGTAAACTAATCTAACAACTATGAAATCTGTATGGAATTTCCTCAAAAAACAAGACAAATATATCTATCTTATAACCCTGCCATGTATGACCCTGATGTACCACTCTTGGACATATATTTTGAAGGAGTCTAAATCAATATATATGTAAGAAAGACTTGTATACCCATGTTTATTGTAGCTTTGTTCACAGAGTCAGAGAGTTATATCAGTTGAGGATCCCAAGAACTAATGAGTAAATACATGAAATATTGTACATATATATCATGAAATAATACTCAGTCACAAAGAAAAAAAGTGAAATGATGCCGTTCTCAGGAAGGTGGATAGAGCTGGAGATTATCATATGGAGCAAGATAACCCAAACCCCAAAAGCTAGATACCATATTTTATCCATTTGCAGAATTCAAACTTTAAAGACATACACTTATCTATCTATGTACGCATGCATATACATATATATGTGTATATACTCATACACCTTGACTGTAACTATGATAATGTTTAGGAGAAGAAGACAGGAGAGAGAAAAAGAGAAAGATGGAAGTTGAAAAATATCAAAATACAATGGGGAGCCAGGCACTGGTGGTTCACACCTGTAATTTTAGCTCTTTAGGAGACTAGGATCTAAGGATTGCAGTTTGAAGCCAGCCTGGGCAGGAAAGTCCTTGAGACGCTAATCTCAGTTAACCAGCAAAAAAAAAAAATCAGAAGTGGAGCTATGGTAGAGAAAATAAAACAAAACAAAACAACAACAACGTAAAAAAAAAAAAAAAACAAGAAAGCTCAAGCCCCAGGATTGACCCATGCTCACGTACCCATGTGCGCACATGCACACACCACCACCACCACCACCATAACAACAACAAAACAATGTGCCTATATATGAAGATGGCCTAAGAAACCTCTGAAAGCTGTTAAAACAATAGGAGGCGAGGAAATAGGAAAAGAGCAATAGAGGGGGTTATCCTGATTAAAATAATATGTACTGTGAAATACCATTGTGAAACCCTTTTGTACAATTAGTATACACTAAAAAATGAATGTCAGAGGAGTAAAACAGACTTGTAAATAGGGGAGGGAGGAAGAATGGAGAGGTAAATGAGGGTGAATATGGTCGAAGTACTGTATAGGGATGCATGAAAATAGAAATGAAACCTGTTGAAATTATTTTAAGAAGGTGGGAGAGGGGTAAAAGAAAGTGATAGAGGGTAGAGGTTGATAAAATTCATTCTATGTATGTATGGAAATATCACCATTAAATTCTGGACATCATTTTTTAAATTTGGGAATCAAGCTGCCTCTACAAGCCCTAGCTATATCCAGGATATTGAGGTGTATTGATCAGCGAAGAGCAGGCTGTAATAATACTTGAAATCAAACAAGTCACACCATGATACTTTCCTTAGTGTTTGGAGCAAGCTCTTGATCATTAGTTGGAGAACATGAGAATCAGGACTCAATTCCTGGAGAAAGAGATTGCAAAGCGCTAGGTCCATTAAAGCCAGGAAGATTGAGGTTTAAAGAGGGGCTGCATTTCTAAGAGGAAAACGTACCCAAAATCAAAGCAGGTCTGTTGAATTCCATCATCTCCAGTAACTCCTGTTTCCTTTTGTCAAAATAGGAATGACTATCACATGATCATATGTAGTAAGATAATGTATGTGAAGAAGAGGATACAGGTAATGCTTATCAAATTTTATTATGATGCATTTAAAATGCATAAAATTTGTAAGTTAAATGAATTCAAAAATAATTTTCTTTTGAAGCTTTAAAAATGTGCACTGAAAGCTTTTCAAACATTATTTTAACATCAAGAAAAGCACTAAATGGGCCAATTTGCTTTCTTTTTTTGGAAAAAATGTTCAAAAGTTTTAGGAATTGGTTGGAAATGGATTGTAAAATAAATGTACATGTATGATTTGTTATCACAACTGTTATATCAGTAGTGATAGCACAAATGGACGTCAGATTTTATTTTTAAATAGCATTAACAATGTCATCAAAAGCCTTTGGAATCAGGATCTGAAAAGTACAAACTCAATGTCATCAAAAATGTCAGAACATTTTTTAGATGGTACAACTCAATATTTGTTAGAACTATTTTTTCAAGTCTTTTCTCTGGCATCATGATGTTTTGTTTTTGCTATCCAATTACTAAAAACTTTAGAGGAGTGGGTACCGCCCAATGGTGGTATGGGGCTACTTTGGTCCTATTGCTGAGATCTAGAGACTTAGGAGTGACATTTGTAACAATATAAAAGCTCCTCCTGTTGAGCAGAAGGTGTAATATAAAGGTCACACTTGAGGCGATACAACACAGCTCATCAGCTGTCGCAGGCTATTCTGTTAGTGCAGCATCAGCTGGTAGCACAGGTGAAAGATCTTCTCTGATGTCATTGTATGGTAAGTCATCTTTAATTTTAAAAATTTCATGAGACTTCATGTGAATTATTACACAACTATCATGCTGTTTATTCACAGTAAAATGTTAAAGGAGTTGGATTAGGTTAAATATAATATATAATAATGATATAATAACATAATAAATTTGTTAAATAAATCATTTATTGGTGTGATTAAATCCTGAGATTTTTTTTAAATCACTCAAATTACATAAAATTAAGATATGCTTTGGTAGTCTTTCAATTTTTTAAAATTAAAACTGACTGGTATTATATGAATAATTCTGGATATAAGTAATATGAATTATGTAGATTAAATTGTCTTTTTCCCCCATGGCGGATCTTTACCTAGACTATTTATTTTCTGGTTCAATGAGAGCTCACCCTGATACTGGAGTTGGAAAAGTTTCCTTTCATTGTTGAGTAGTAACTTCCCTTATATAATAGACTTTTCTATTCTGAAAGTTAACAAATTGAATGATGTTGTAAAGTCACTTTCAGCTTTTTCATGGCATTCTTGTGAAGGAGCCCACTTTCTCTTAAAAAAGGAAACAAAGCAGAGATGTCTGAGGTCATCAGGTGAAGGGGACAAAGCTAGGATTAGATACCAGTGCTCCTGTCCTCCAGCCAGTGCTAATTTGTGACACAAGGAAAGGCTTCCTTTGTTACTCTACCCAAAACTGTTTCACAGTAAGTAGTGATGTAGCAGGATCCAAAGTTTCTTAGGCAACTTTTAAGGGATGTGATTTAAAATGCTCCTTTAAAATTGTGGCACAGAGATTGTGTGCTTTAAGATAACTATAAGCATTTAGAGAAAGTGTTGTGTAATAATATTCTTTGCAATTATTGAACTGCAGAATAGGCAAAATATCCTATACTGATATGAAAGCTTTGTGAGCAAAGGAGAGCAAAAGAGAGAAGTTACTTTTACTTATGACTATGTGTTTGTGTCCATAACTCTTATTCTTATTTAGAACATGTATATGGATTTATTCACACACACATATGGTATACCATTGGATGGAACTTTATATAATGGAACATCTTTAATATGAGTTTTAATAAAGAACTGGATTCAAAAAATAAATTAAAACACATAATTGCTAATGAAGTGAGTTAAAGGAATAAGAAAAGACAGATATTAAGAACTAAATTTCAGATTTTCAAATGCTGTCTGGGGCTCAACTGGTAGAATGCCTGCCTGGCAAATACAAGACCCTGAATTCAAACTCTAAGACTGTCAAAAACATATAAAGTTTAAAATGTGCACAACAAGTAATTCTGTCCAATTTCTAAAGGCTTTGACCCCAAACTTTTTAACGCAATGAAGAAAATTCTCTGAAAAATCAGAGCAAGGTTGGTGTTTATGGTTATTATGGAGTGCCTAGAGTGAAATTTCATCATGAAAACAGCATTTTCTAACCAATTTACTTAATTCTGAGATCAATTTCAATCACATAAGCATTTAGTTGTAACCAACATAAATCAAGGGAGTAAGTCTTCAAGAGAAAGGTAATTTAAAATTCATATATAGTACGTGGCTTAAATTCATAAATTAAAACAAACTAGAAACCTCAAAAAGCTGCCTAGTTTCTCAGTGAAAGTTTGTGTAAATGTAAAGCTACTAATGTATCTAGAATATAAAGATGCCTGTTCTAAAAGCCTCTCATGAAAACCAGCTCAACTCCTGATTGGTTATATGATTACAAATGAAAACTGCTATGAATGTATTTAAATAGTTTGTAACAGAATGTTTCTGAGTGTCTTGATTTTGCTGTTTCTTCTAGTGAAGATGATGTCTACCAAAGACATGGCTAAAGTAATGATTGTCATGCTAGCAATTTGTTTTCTTACAAAAACAGATGGCAAACCTATTAGGTAAGTATTGCAGCCTACTCTTCATTGGGAAGGTATGGGACTGGCTTGTTTTATCTGATTGATGGGAAGCTAATAAAGTGGCTCTCTTCTGCTTTTGTTCTTCCTAGGAAGAGAGCAGTCAGTGAAATACAGCTTATGCACAACCTGGGAAAACACCTGGCCTCCATGGAGAGGGTGGAATGGCTGCGTAAGAAGCTGCAGGATGTGCACAATTTTGTTAGCTTTGGAGCCCATTTAGCTGCCAGAGAAGGGGGTTACCAGAGGTTTCCTAAAAAGGAGGATAATGTCCTCATTGACAACTTTCAAAAAAGTCTTGGAGAGGGAGACAAAGCTGATGTAGATGTATTAGTTAAGGCCAAATCTCAATAAAATACAGCTCTGATTAGACTGCTGCTCTAGGCAGCAACATTAGAGGTTGTTAACTCTTTCTCAAGCTTTATTAAGATTATAAAGTGCCAATCCTATTACCAAAATTTGCATGTGATCCATTGCCAACTATCCTAACTGCCATTTTTGGATCATTTTAATATCAGTCTATAGTATATTATTGCATAACATGAGAGAATAAATTACACATTTCATGTCTACCCCTCCTAATAAAGCAAAATAAAACTTTAATGATCATGAATGGAAAGAAGTGTTTTTGTCATTAAAAGTATGGCTTTGGGGGGGGGTTGTAATGGATGTCAAGTGATTATAGTGAGAAGAGTTTATAGAAAAAAACAAAAAAGGGGCTGGGAAGGTGGTTCAGTGGTAGAATGCTTGCCTTGCATGCATAAGGCCCTGGGTTCAATTTCTCAGCACCACATAAGCAAAAAGAAAAAAGCCAGAAGTGGCGCTGTGGCTCAAGTGGTAGAGCACTAGCCTTGAGCTGAAGAGCTGAGGGACAGTGCCCAGGCCCAGAGTTCAGTCCCCACAACCGGACCCCCCCCAAAAAAAAAGAAAGAAAAAAATTTCATCTATTTCACAGTTTGATGTTTTCATCATAATTTATTTCTAATAACAAACAACTAGATTCCCAGATCCTCACTATCTGGACACAGTTGTATCCTTAATTTAAGTAATAGCAGTGAAATATTCAGAAAAAAGGACAGAAACTGGTGTGAAGCTTGACCACTTGATTTGTCACCACAAAACCCCATGGATCAACTTTACTAGAATCCCAGACTCTAAGCAGTACAAATGTAATATGAATTATTAGCAAATGCCTGTTGAATATGCATTATAACATATTTGTTCTGCACTACACCCACAAATAGTCCAAACAGTTAACAAAATACATATTGTCCTTGTCTTCACTAGCCCCTAATTTTTTATTATTTCATGATAAGTCTGATGATGGCTATGTTGGAAAAACAAGATACTGCCAAAGTATAAAACACAGAGCCCTATTTTTACTTAGCAATGTTGTCCAACAGAATTTTCTGCAGTAATGTTGTACTCTATACTCCGGGCTAACTGGTATCATGATCCCATAGGTATTTCTCTAAAATGTGGCTAATGTGACCAACTATGTATTTTAGATTTAATTTGAATTCATTTAATTCAAATAGCAACACATGGTAGATAATCACAGCATAAATCTATATCAAGATGATCCCCCAAATCAGGGAGATGAGTCAGAGAAAAAGTCAAGTAGAAAGTGGCTCAGTGGTAGAGCGCTTGCCTTGCATGCCTGAGGCCCTGGGTTCGATTCCTCAGCACCACATAAGCAAAAAGGGAAAAAAAGCCGGAAGTGGTGCTGTGGCTCAAGTGGTAGAGCGCTAGCCTTGAGCTGAAGAGCTGAGGGACAGCGCCCAGGCCCCACGACCTGACCAAAAAAAAAAAAAAGAAAAGAAAAAAGTAGGTGAATCTCCCAGGGAGGCTGTGAGCAGGGAGGGGCCATAGCTAGATACTGCAAGCTGAGTCAAGTTCCTAGGAGGACAGAGAGAAGCAAGGGATCTTCTTCAAATGGCAGCACCTTGAGATACACAGAAGGGGAAGGGCTCTGCATGTTGGAAGGGACTTTAATGGCAAGTAAACTATGCCAATCAGAAGCCTATGAACAGTTGTCTGGCATACTGGTGTAATCTGTCAGCCTGTAAATACTATGCAGGGAAGCAAATCTACTTTAGGGTAAAGGGAAACTGATGCATTACATAATCACTAGAATGCAGAAGAAACAAATCCTAACTGGCCCTGGCTCAGAGGGTCCTGTTCTCTCTTCTTATCTCAATACTGCTTGAACAGAATCCTGAAACAACTCCAATGAGAATCAGGAGGCAGTTGTTCCTGCTGCTGTGCTGCTGTGCTGCTGTTGTAGAATGCAGTGTCCCAACAGCCCAGCACGTCATAAGTCCACTCCACTACCTCTTACTGTCCAGTCACTGGCTTTTGGCTGAAAACTTTGCCAAAACCAAAAAAGCTGATATCATACCCTCCATATTCATGCTGCCAGCAGGAATAGTGTTGTGAAAATAGGGCCTTAGTTAATCTTTCACAGTGTCCCAGGAGTTTATAAGACTGACTCTAAATCTCTACTAGAACCTTAGTTGCAGAGAGAGGCCCTCTTTTGGCTCTTGAGCTCATGTGAGGAAAGAGTGCGCACTGGACAGTGGCAGGTACTTGCTTTCTACTCCTGATAGTACTGGCTCCACAGGGAATATCTGGACTCCTTACCTATGGAGCTCTTTGGAAATCTCCTTGATGTCTCTATGAGTGTTATCTCAGATATAAGCCAGTTTTACAAGATGGCCTGTGAAGCAGAAGTAGAGGCTATGTTCAGACCAGCAGACCTAGGTGATCCTGCCTCCTTAATTCTTCCTGCAATTTAGAATTATATCTCTTTATCAGAAATGCCACTATATTGATGTCAAGTTATTACTCATTGTATTAAATGTTACAGCACTCATTATTGGTAGAATGAATCTCTGGACAGTATTGGATATTTGGGCTTCCCTGATTTGTGTGCTGATTTTTCTCAGATGTCAATTTCTGTTTTAGTTTCTAGTCCAGCACATTTGGAGCTCTTTGTGTATTCTACTCAAAATATTTTATGGGTTTTATATGTCACAATCATTTTTCTCTCAGCGTTTCAGACCATTTTAATTTTATCTATTCTAAATTTTCAGATACTTAATATATCTTTTTATTTTAATTTTTATTGTATTGTTTGTAGTTAGGGGAGTCTCAAAGATTTTTGTTATTTTCCTCCAGATAGGATCTTGTTATGGAGTCCAGGTGACTTCCAGCTGACTGAATAGCAGGCTGGCCTGGAATTCTCAATCCTCATGAGGTAGCATTCTATACGGTTTTGGTTATATGAGTGTAGCACCATGCTAGGCTTTTATATCTTTCTTACTCAAACAGGAATCACAAAAATCAATGTATCTAACCAAATTGTGGCAGCAAGAACATATGGTGTGTGTTTATACCAAGTAGAAGGAAGCTGAAAAAAAGAAGGGCCTTAAAATCTGGTGTAACATCCAAACATACTTCCTCAGAGACCTCAGCTAGGTCCCAAAATATACTACCTCCAAAATCCAAGACAGCTGAGAGCCCAGTGGGGACTTTACATATTGGAACCATAACTTGGTATAGGGCAGGAGAAGTAGAGGACATGATTAGTGAATATTAAACAGGAATCTTGGAAAAGACTCATGCCCTGTATAAGACATTTCTAGGCAAAGATGGTGGGCATATATGCTAAGTGCTTCTACAATAGTACTATCTAGGTGAGGAGTGCTTATTTTTTTCTTTGCTTAGTTCAGCCTAAGTCACAGCACCTTCAATTGTTTATAGCGCTCAGTACAGTAACATACTGTAGGATTGCAGTCTAGTATAGACCATTCCATAGAGTCAAACATATATCAGACCAGGCAACCTGAGTTTAGATAAGTGTGCCCTGGGATCCTGTGATGCTCCTAATCCTCTCACTCTCTCTTGTATTCTTGCATTGTGTTTCAGATAGGGGCTACGTTTTTTGGAATGTTCAATCCTGGAATTGTGATTCTCCTATCTAAAGCCTCCTGTATACCTCAGGTAACAAGTATGTACCACCATTCAGGATTTCATATTGAGATGTAACCATTTTTTTAAAATCAAGGTTGGCTGCTCAATATGATCTTCCTGATCTCTGTCCTCATTCCCTTGCCCCCAAGTACCTGGGATTACTAGTGTAAGTCACTGCTCTTAGCCCAAATTACCATTTTTTTTTTTTTGTTGGTTGTGGGGCCTGAACTCTGGGCCTAGGCACTGTCCTTCAGCTCTTCAGCTCAAGGCTAGCACTCTACCACTTGAGCCACAGCGCCACTTCCGGCTTTTTCTGCTTATGTGGTGCTGAGGAATCGAACCCGGGGCTCATGCATGCAAGGCCAGCACACTACCACTAAGTCACCTTTCCAGCCCCCAAATAAAATTTTTAAAGAACAATCTTTGTCTTTAAGTAATCCATGAATGAACTTTAAGATAGGTCACTATTTCAGTGTTACAATTCTCCATTTTGTATTCTTAGGGAGATTGATACTTTTTAACTCGGTTCTGGGCCGCTTATAGGAAGGCATTTTGCTTACTATATTACACCTGAATTATTGTTTCTTAAGCCATGAAGCCTGAGACTTCCTATTTTACCATTTTGTTGAGTAACCTAAGTTAATAACCTAAGTTTGTTTTTACCTTGATACATTTGTTCTAATAAGAGTTTATCTAGACAAACTGTACAACATAGTCTTCTTTATAGACATTTCTATTATCATATTTATCAGTTCATTGAGTTCTTCCAAAATATCCATCAGGATTTTTATGGGAAGCATGTTAAAATTATACATTATTGGTAGGAATTTTTTCATCCTTACTATGTCATCCTGTTTGTCAGCATTGTGAGGTCCTCATTTGTTCTAATCTCCTTTTATGCTTTTTATATAATTGAATTCTCTCTAGAAGGATCTTCTGCATTCTGTGTTGTTAAACACTATATAGTATGATG